TGCCGCAATCCCTTCTCCTCCATTCTCCTCTCGGGATCTTGGGCACGCACGCACATGCGCCCGGCATGAGTTTAAGCCACCGGGTCTGGGACTTGAACTGCAGTCAACTACGTGGGAGTTCAGTGACACAGCCATTACGCTAACTGCTGGTCCCTCTTTCCTTGAGTCTTAAAGTTAAATTTTAAATTATTTTATTTTCTCAAAGTAAAAACAATGGATATCTTTTTTTTTCTTTCCTATTTTTATGTGCCAGAGGGTGCATATACTCACTAGAGAGAGCGGGAGAGGGAAAATGGACTCATCTCCTCAAGGATGTTGGTCACACCACAATCCCTTCTCCTCCATGTCTCTCCACTAGGAAATTTGGGGCCTGAACACACATCTGCCCAGTGTGTTTTTCAGACCTATAGGCTCAGGACTCAAACCAGTTGGCAACGCGGGGTCCAGCTGCCTTAACTACCAAACTGCTGGCTGGCCCAATGCACTTTTTTTTTTAATGGTTTTTGCCGTAGGGCACATAAGCTCACCTGAGACAGACAGTGAAAGGAAAAGTGAAAAATCCCTCCTGAGGGGTGATAGTCATGCCACAATCCCTTCTCTTCTATTACCCTCCTGGAATTTTGGGAATACACGCACATGTGCCTTGTGTGAATTTCAAGCCTCCAAGTTTGGGACTCGAACCACAGTCAGCCATGGGGGAGTCCAGCGCCTTAACCACTAATGGAGGAGTCTGACCCAGTGAGGCCCCAGGATCTGTCTGAGCCCCCTGACCTTTGAGCTCCGCTTTTGGTTGGATCAATACGTTGGCAAGGCTACTGTTGTGTACTCCCCGACCTTAGTGCCTTGTGTGAATTTCAAGCCTCCAAGTTTGGGACTCGAACCACAGTCAGCCATGGGGGAGTCCAGCGCCTTAACCACTAATGGAGGAGTCTGACCCAGTGAGGCCCCAGGATCTGTCTGAGCCCCCTGACCTTTGAGCTCCGCTTTTGGTTGGATCAATACGTTGGCAAGGCTACTGTTGTGTACTCCCCGACCTTAGAACAAAGCTTGGGTCAGTTAGCATGTCAGCAAGGCTGCTTGCTATTTGCTCTAGAGAATTGAGGCAGCCTCACTGGGAAGCGACCCCCCTCTGACTCTCCAATTTACTATTATGAAAGAATTGCATAGCTCTCTTATACATCTTGAGTATATGATAAAATTTTTTAGAAAGTCTCTTACCGCTCCCCTTTGCTCTAATCACTTACTATTAATTACAATGCTTTATTTTTATGGTCACAATAGAGGGTGGGCTAAAGTTTTTTTTTAGGCAAAAGTAATCTTGACTTTTAAAAGGCCCTTAAATTTTTCTTTTCTTTATGTAAAATAAGATTAGGCCAAAACTGGCCCAGGACACTTTTGCACTCTCTAAGTAAAATAAATAAATATATTAGGACTCCTCAAATTAAGTTTTAAATTCCTACAAAACTGTGTTTAAGTATTATTTTTTATTAAAATCCATAAAAACTAATATTTATTTTTGAGATTTTTTTTTTTAGTACTATTTTCAGTAATTACAAAATGGCTGCTACACCACATCAGCTAATAATTATCTCTGTTTACTGAAACCGCTTTCCCAAAACTGCATTCTATGGAGACCCACTTACAATTGAGGAACTGCACTAGACCCACCCTTAATCCACCCCTAAATACAAACTGCACTAGATCGCACTAGATCCACCTTTAATCCACCCCTAAATAAAATCTATGTTTTATTGTTAAAAGACTTTATGAGCTGATAATTAAAACACGTAGCCCCTCTCCCATTTACTTGTATGTAACACATTTTCAATAAAAACGCACAATAATTCCTAGCAGTTGTCACTCCTTAGAGAGCAATCTCTGAGGGGTGTCCGGCATAAGACGTGCATAAAAGGCATCGAGGCCTCTGTCTTCTGTTTACCTTCGCCGCCTTCGTCGAGATAACCCACCCACGCCGAGGCTGGACCCCGGCACACTATCCTACCTGCTAGCCCCTTACTGCATGCTTTTTAATGAATATTGAGTGTTCATGCCGGGCATGTGTGTGTGTGCATGCATGCCAAAGATCCCGAGAGGAGAATGGAGGAGAAGGGATTGAGGCGTGGCCATATCCTCTGGGGAGTGATTTCTCACTTTCTATCTCTCTGTCTCTGTCTTTCTGGCAAGCGCACGTGCCCTATAGCAAAAACCTCTCCAAAAAAAGAAAACGAAAAAAAAAGGAATATTGAGTGTTTCTTTTTGGGAAAAACACCTAGACCATTTAGTTAATGATGCTATTTATATTTATAATGTCTTAATTGTATAAAAACTTAGTGTTGTGATTTTAATTAAGGTACACTTAAAGTAGTATTTACGAAGAACTGTTTGCCAGGTTGGATAGAAAATTGTTCTTAACAGCATTTTAAAAAATCTACAGAAGGGGGGCGACCAGCAGTTAGCGTAATGGCTATGTCGCTGGACTCCCACATAGTCGACCGCGATTCGAGTCCCGGACCTGGTGGCTTAAACTCATGCCGGGCGCGTGTGCATGCGTGCCCAAGATCCAGAGAGGAGAATGGAGGAGAGGGGATTGCGGCGTGGCCATCCCCCCGGGGGGTGATTTCTCGCTTTCTGTCTCTCTGTCTTTCTGGCGAGAACATGCACCCTATAGTAAAAACCTCTCCAAAAATAACCTGAGTGTTCCAGAGAGATGAGATGGAATTACCAGCACCATCGTGGCCCGTTCTTAGCCTCTTACTGGGCAGTCACCGAGGTGGATGACCACCCTCTGCTAACTTCTTTCCCTGTCCTTGTGATTTGAACATCTGTCATCTGCAGTGAATATCACTTCCTGGTCATTTTAGTACAAATCCAAACTCCCCTTCACCTGATAGCCAGACCTGCCTTCCAAATGCATTCTGAGTGGGTCCTCCCCGACGACGACAGAGCCACGTCACCAACGGTCATTCCTGGTTTCCACCCGCTGCATCCCCCGCTGCAGCCCCCAGGCCCCCAGCTCAGGCACACGCAGCTCTGCTCCTTCCCAAACACACCGGCTCTGACCATCCTTCCTGCTCTTCG